TGTCCTGGCAAGTGTGCAGCACTAATCTATATGGCAGGGGATGCCACATTGAGACCAGTCAGAGACTAAAATGGAATTCCAGCCAGATCATCGAGTTTACCCTATTTTTCTCCCAAGCTAACGCTTTTGGGGCCTTCATGATGTGGAAGTTGATTAGCTTTTCCAAAAGAGTTTTAAACAATCATTACTTTTCAATTTCAAAGTTTTAAGCTTCTATGTTCCCTCTCCAGCAATCAGGATGTGTCCAGTATGATTCCTAAAGTTAGGAATCGAATCACCTACTTCAGCTTGCTCCATTAGCTTTGCAAGTGTCATTGACATATACCAACGTTTGAGAGCCATGAAGCCTGTTAGAATTAAATTCAGCTGCAATGAACACAAACAGTGCCATAAACAAGACAGTTAATTTTCACCCATTAAAATGTTCAGGATAGTCAGCCAATCTAGGGTGGGCATCGGCTGGGTGCTGGGAACCAGGCTTCTTCTCCTTTGATGCCTTTGTGCAGCTTCCATTTTCAGGGTCACCTCACTGTCCAGTTTCCTGTTGGAGTGTTCTCTATTGTGTGCATTCCAGCTAGCAAGGAGGTGAAGGGGAAGAGCACACCCTGTCCCTCTAAGAGCCATCAGAAAGCCTGGCACTGTGGCACACACCTGTAATCCTCGCGCCCAGGGAGGCTAAGGCAGGAGGATTGCAAGTTCATGGCCAGCCCCAGCAGTTTAGTGAGATCCTCTCTCAAAAAAAAAAAAAAAAAAAGTAAAAAGGGCTGGGGATGTAGCGCATCAGTAAAAGTGCCCCTGGTTTCAATCTTCAGTAAAAAAATAATAATAATAATTCAGGAATATATATGTACCACTTTCCACTTAATCCCAAGGGCCAGAAGTGAGACAGGACCATACCCTGCAAGGGAGCCTGCCGCAGTCTGGCTGGGCACAAAATAACCGAGCCGCCACACTGCCTTGTAGGTTCAAACAGGAACCATTATTCCCGAACTCTCACCAGCACTCTACACAAAGTTCCCGGGAACACACTCCCTCCACCTGGCTCCGAGTGCCAATTCTCTCAGAACCCCACGAGAACTCCAAAGAGCCCAAGGCAGCAGGATCCGCCCTAATCCCAGAGGATCTGCCCTAATCCCAGAGCAGGGTCACCTTTCAACCATTCCCTCTAACAAAATGCCAGGTGTCATTCTGACTAAACTGTGGCTCTCAACAGGAGCCTGGGAGAAGTAGTCTTTATTCTGCATCTCTATGGAGATGTAATAAAGTAATGTAGCAAAGTAATAAAGACTCTTTTAGGATAGATAGAACAGGAGGGGTGAATATTCAGGGACATTCACTGATAATCATGTGCAGCAGGAAGAGGGAAATTTACCTAATTCCTACATTTGCTTTTGAATGTGAGACCTAAGAGAAATTCTTTCTATAGAGATCAGATCTCTAAAGGAAAGTGACTATGGCAGTGGTCCTCAAACTTTGCCTCACATTAGCATCATTTGGGGATGTTTAAAAACTCCCATGCCTGGCTTCCATGCCCAGTAATTCTGAGTTAATTTGTGGACAAGAGAATGTGGGTATAAGGGTACATAAAAGTCCCCATGGGGATTCTGAGTGCAGCAAAGTTTGGGGACCACATCCCCTACGGGGGGGGGGGGAATATTCCTGAATCTATTCCTTCACTCCATCATGGGATCTTCAACTTAGATCTGCCGAATGTAAGTAAAATGCACAGAATGGGGGTTTACTCCATTGATGACACCCTATGTTTTCTTCCATGATTGAAACCCCAGCGGTTGGGCTAGTTAGTATATTACTGGTAAGGAGTAGGTGATCAGGGCAAATCTATTACCAGCCAGGCAAAAGACAATTCAGAGAACCTGTCCCACTTACAATCTCCTGTGGCATTTTCATGTACAAAGGAGAACACAGTTTAATTGTAGCTATATTTAAACATGTTATTCCTATGTGGCATGAAAGTAGCTTTCAGATTGTGTGTGTGTGTGTGTGTGTGTGTGTGTGTGTGTGTGTGTGTAGCAGGGCTCAGACATAGGGGTGAATCATCCCTAAGCACTGCATTTACATTTCAAATGCAGGAACCTATTCAAATCAAGTGCGAATGGCCCTCTCTATTTGGCAGTATACATGTCATCCAGTTGCTCAAAATAGCCCTTTAGAGATCCAAGCATTGAGCTAGTGGCCTCTCAACCCATTACTAGCTGTCGGATATTCTATCCATTCCAGCTGAGAGGCAGGCAAAGGTTATGTTTTCTTTGAATTGTTAATRCAGAGGTCTGTCTTTTAAGTTGAGGTGTGAAATGCGGAGGAGTAAAATAGGAAACACTCAAAGAAGAAAGCTAGACAGGCCATTTTATCCCCCTCTTCACCTTTAGAAAGAATGACATTAAAACATTCTAAACAGATGAGAATCTACACTATTTTTATAGCTCTTAAATGACAGGATTGCACAATCCTGTCCTCACCGCACTTTTCTTTGCAACAATTTGCAGCTAGGAAATTTCTCTTTGCATCTGACTCAAGGGCTCTGACCTGGTGGATCCCATTTCCCTCTTGATGTCCTTCAGTTCAGAGGGACAACAGCATTCTTTGTGAAAATTTCTCTCACACTTTTAGATATGATAATTAAATAGATTATCAGGTTTCTCTTTCATTCCAAGCACATCCTTTCACACCTTCTCTTAAATTGTTTTCCAATGTAGTCATCTCCAGGGGCCATCTTCTCTTAAATCCAAGGGCTCCCAAGCTTGTCTGCACTGGAATCACCTGGAAGCTTCAAATGCGTATGCCCCACCCCCAGGGATTGGGAAGCAATTATTTAGAATATGTATTGAATTTTGGAATTTTAAGATTCCCAGTTGTTTCAAAATGCAGAGCAATAATTATGTACAAATATAATACAAATAGAAATATGTAAAAAAAATAAAAATACAAATACAGAGCAGTTTGGGAATCAATCTGAAGCTACTGCAGACCTGTTACTCTTCCTTCCTCCTCCTTAACCAATAGAGCCTTGAACACAGCCCAGGTAAAGGATCATGATTCGCCTAACACAGTGGTTCCTGTCCCTGACTGTCATTAAGATCACCTGGAGGAGCCTTTCAATAAGGAGGTCCGGATCGTATTACTAAGTGATATCAGAACATCTAGAGATATTGACCCATGGAATCTGTACCATCACAATGTTCTCAGGTGTTTTCAATGCACCATCTCGGGGAAAAGCCCGTGGAAGTCAGTGTTTTCCTAAAACCTGCAGCAGCAATGGGAACTGTAAGTAGTACAGATCTTCAGGTCCTGAAGCAGGCCTACAGAGTCAGCATCTCTAGGGGTGGGGCTCAGCCATCTGTGCTCAGCACACCCTCCAGGGAGCGCCAGTGCTCACCTGTTCCACAATAACTGGGCTCTGTGACCAGCTCTAGCCACTGTGACCCAGCAGAGTCTTCGGGTAGCAAGTGGTTTCTGGGAAGGCCTTTACATTTTCTTGTTTCTTTTTCTTTTTACTGGGGTTAGGGGGGTGACTGGGGATTGAACCCAGGGGTGATCAACCACTGAACTCCATCTCTACCCTTTTTAAATTCTATTTATTTATTTTTTAAATTTTTGAGACAGGGTCTCTTTAAGTTGCTCAGGACCTCGCTAATTTGCTAGGGCTGGTCTCAAACTTGCAATCTTCCTGCCTCAGTATTCTGAGTTCCTGGGCTTACAGTTGTGCAACACTGTGCCCAGCTCACTTTCTTCTTACAAGGGAACAGAAATAGCTGGCCTTATTTCTACTTCTTCCTACCTGAAGTCTTGAAAGTAGGTGATTCCTAGAACCACAGCTGCCATTTGGGGACTGTGATGTAAAAATGCTTGAAGAAAGTCAGAGAATCACAGATAACCAGCAGGAGGCAGGGATGCTGGCCAGGCACTCCCAGCTATAAGAAAAACAAAACCCAACTTGCTTAAGCTATTGATGGGATTTTATGTTGCTTAGAGCTAACATAACCCTGATACAGAATCAAATTTCCAAAATTCATTTTATAGGGAGAGAACTCAGAATAGAATCCAATGCTTTTACTTATGGCCAAGGCATGCTAAACTTTAGGGAAAGTCCCCTTCTAATTGTAATGGTACATCAGCAATCAGTGAATCCCAAATCTGGCTGACAACAGGATTACCTAAAGGAGTTTGTTTAAAAGGATTCCTCAACCCACCCCCAATATACTGAATTAGAATCTCCCAGAATTGGACTATCGGGCCTCCAATTTAACAAGGTGATTATTGTGTCCCAACTGGCCCCCTGTCTACCTTGTGACTGAGCCTAATGTGCAAAATTTACAGAAGGCCTCATGCTGGTGGTGACGCGGGAGGGTAGGGATGACAGTTACACAACCCTGAGTGTAAGCGCCTCCTGAAATTTTTGTGTCCTAAGCACTTCATTCGGCTTTACCCTAGTCGCTACCCTGATACAGATAAGGGTAATTTAGCAGGTGGTGTCTGTCATTTGTCATGACATAGTGGAAACCCCTGTCAAATTATCTCTTACAAAAAGTAATCAGCTGAGTTATTTGGTTTTCCAGTGGTGGTTCCAGGGTCATAAGGACACAGTCTACACTATAAATGGTGCAGCCTGCGGTTTATTTTCAACTTGGGATATGCATTCAGGTGTCTATGACATCAATTCCCTCCTGAGTTGAAAAATAACTGTAGCACTGATTGTCTTGGTCCCTGTTCACCCACATGAGAAGAGGAATGTGATCCTGTGAGAGAAAAAAAATTTAATGAGGTGAGTCAGCGGGTGTCAGATATCTGTGTGCAGGTGGCAGAATCCAGGACCAAAGTCCTCCCGTAGCTACTAAGGAGTCAAGTCTTGGTTTTGTGAATTAAAAGTGGAAACCAGTAGGTGTTTGTAAAACTATGTATCAAGCTTGGCTATTCCTGTTTCCCAAAACTGTTTCAGGACATGAATATGCTACAGTCTCCCAGAAATAGAAGTGAAGGTAACTTAACCCAAAGTTGTGGTTCCTGCGTCCAGCCTGGGTTGGTTGGTGTCAGCAGAATGGAGGCTGAAGAATCTCAGTGACTGACATTGTGGAACCTCCCAAGAGCGCCTCACTGGAGTGGGCAGGAAGGGGTGCTGGCCAGGCACACTAAGAGGTCTCACAGGGCTTCGATTGAGGCAGTGCCAACGGACAGGACAAACCCTGTTGACTCCAGGGTCTATGGCTGTAGCATTAGATTTCACCGGTGTGGTGATGATGGGAACAGCCGTGGCAAGAAGGACAGACAGCCTCAGTGAGGAGGGGCCTCTCATCCACACTCCCTCCAATCTTCACCTCCTATAATGTGATCAGTGAGTGCCCTTGCATCGGACAAATATTTAACAAGTGCTTCCCCAAAATAATAACTTCCCTTTCCTGCATGGTGCATGCCGGAGACCAGTTGCTCCTCTGTCTGACTGTGCCTCAGTGTACGGTGGCAGGAGTAGATGGCCCATGTTTTGCTGTGGGGAAGGGCTTGGCCGTTGTCCTGCATAGGAGACAGGAACTGAGTGACTGCTCTCTGCAGGCTGCTTCCCTACTTTCTTTTCTGACAGTCTTTTCTGGCAAGGTGGCACTGAGTGGCAACTGGCAAACCCAGAATGGATTAAATCAGCACTCGAGTGTGTCAGAGGGTTTGGAAGCATCCCAATGCTCTTGCCAGCAGCGATGACTGAGAACCCACACCTGGGACAGGGCACCCTGCAGACCTGCTGTGCTGTGCAGGTGGCTTGAGGGGATCTTCCTGCAGAGCCACACTCCCTAAAACACAAGGGTTGGCTGGTGCTCAAAAATGCATGCAGGGTGGGAAGAGATGACAGGAGGTCTGGAGTTTGTTTTAGACTGCAGTCGAGAAAATTAATAAAAGGGGCCAGATAAGGTAAACACAGCAAAATCCTGCCTGTCGATGAAGCTAGATGTTGGATAAATAGGGTGTTCTATTAGAGCTGATGTTTACATAATTTAAAAATCTGCTTAAAAATTTCAGTCAATCATGGTAAATCTTGTGGACCCTGCAGCATGTCCATCGTGCCCAGGTTACGGCAAGCACTGGGAGCCAGAACAGGGTGGGATCTGATGAGGAAGGCCTGTGCCACCCAGCCCCCTACCACGTCTGCCTGGGCTCAGGACCCTGACAATAGGGCAGGGCTGGGATCAGGTCATCAAGTAGGAGTTCTGGTCTGTTCCTTGAGACAGGTGCTCACTGCTCTGCTCCTTCCTCACAAATGTTGGTGGGAGCTTCCTAGCACCAACTTCTCCTAGGGTGCTGGAGGACCACAGGAAGCCACAGACCCTATGGAGGGGTAAGAACTATCAATCAGTACAACCTTTGTCCAGGCGACCAAGTACTTTGTCTTCAGAGCCCACCTCTGTAAAACAAGAGGAAAGAGTGTATCACTGTTCCCAGGGCTGTGTGACAACACCCAGGAATACACTAAAATCTGGATTCTAGCTAGGCATGGTGGCACACGCCTGCAATCCCAGCTACTGGGGAGGCTGAGGCAGGAGGATCACAAGTTCAAGGTCAGCCTCAGAAACTTAGCAAGACTGTCTCAAAATAAAAAAATAAAAGGGCTGGGGGGTATAGCTCAGTGGTAGAATACTCCTGGGTTCAATCTCCAGTACAATTAAAAAAAAAATCTGATTCTGGGCCCCATCAGGACTCCCGCAAGTAGAGCACTAGAAAGCTCTGAGCTGATTCTGCACTGTGGCCTAGTTGGGGGCAACCCAGTTAAGCAGTCCTTTCACACTCTAACAGCTGATATGGCTGGGGACTGAGAATTTAGTGTGCCAAGTTATTTTGACAGGTACCTATCACAGATTTTAGTGAGAAACAGTTAAACAGAACAGAAAAAACACAGGGCAGGGGGCCTGGCAGGGCCTGGTGGACAGAGGCCATCAAAGCTAAGGGAAGGCACACAGACCAGGAGAGTGGAGGGGCCTGCTATCCTGCTCATGCAGTTGCCATGGGAAAATGACTGGTGAGGGGCCCAGGCCACCTGCAGGGGCAGAGCAGGAGGCTGGAGTCAGAGCAGTGCCCAGGACTTCCGTAGCCCGGGGGACCCCTGAGGTGGCTTGTGGGGCAGCAGGACCATGCGTGGGAGGGTGACCTTGCAGTTCTGGCATAGGCCTGTGCCTCTTCTGCTGCCTAGCCAGGGTGACTGGCTGCCCCTCTGCTAACCCTTGCAGTACATTCCAGCAGTTGTGAACACAAGTCTCTTCCAACATTCGGATTTCTCTCAGAATTCTTGCCTTATCTGAAAAGCAACCTCATTTGTGTTTATTGACTGCCTGATATGTTCAAGGCCTGCACAGAGGACCTCAGATACAACCAAGAGGAAAAGGAGCTTTGGCTTTGGGAAAACAACAAGGTATGGTGGGGAGGGAAAAGAGTCAGACAAGCACACAGAACCCCTGGGCAAAAGGCACCTAGCAGGTGCCTCAAAAAGTGGGAGATGGGCTGGGTGCTATGGCGCATGCCTGTATTCCCAGCGGCTCAGGAGGCTGAGGCTAGAGGATGACAAGTTCAAAGCCAGCCTCAGCAAAGCAAGGCACTAAGCAACTCAGTGAGATCCTGTCTCCAAATAAAATATGAAAGGGGTTGGGGATGTGGTTCAGTGGTTAAGCACCCTGGGTTCAATCCCTGGCACCAAGGAAAAATAAAGACTCTCCTTTGTGTAGGGCACCTGAAGTCCTCAGCGGCCCACTCTGTCACACTGAAAGTCAAGTTTCCTCCCCGAGGGCGGGGCCTTCCTTCAACACTGATCATTCACCTTCCTCTGATATCAGCAGCCATTCCACAGGGCTATGCAGGAAGGAAACAGAATGGCTGGAGTGGAGGCCAGGGTGCTCTTCCCTCGCCACAGCCGGCACTTCGAACAGCCCTGAGTGTGCAGGATTTCACATTCCTTGGCAGTTTTCCTCCGTCCCCTCGGAACAGCATCTGATGGCTTCACCCACCCAGCACTGCTCTCCCCATGCTCCTGCTCCAAACCACTTCCCTTAGCACTGCTAGAGCCCCTGCCTGCTTGCTTGGGCTACTGCCCCTCCATGTCCCCATTCTTAAAGCCACAGGCTGTCAGTAACCTACGCGTGGTCTGGGTGGGCATTTTGATTTGTTCTGGGGATTGGACCCAGGGTGCTTTACCACTGAGCTACATCACCAGACCTTTTATTTTTTTTGTTTTGAGACAGATTCTAAGTTGCTGAGGTTGGCCTTAAACTTGCGATCTTCCTGTCTCAGCCTTCCCAGTCACTGGGGTTACAGGGATGTGCTACTGTGTCCAGCCGCTTTTCAAGAATAAAGGGCACCATGTCACTGCCTGGGTCTATCCCCCAGTGGGGGCTCACACTCAGGCTAACCTTGGAGCCTTGAGCCAACCCACAGGGACTTTGGTGACCTGACTCCTTCCTCACCTTGCCCTCCAGTCACTCTGGCCTACTTGCCACCTCCATACCCACCGCCTGTGCCAGCTCCGGCCTACCCTTGCTCTCCCCTCTGCCTGGAATGCTCTCCCCAGACACTCACATGGCCCACTCCCTTTCTTCCCTTAGGATTCCGTTTAAATGCCACCTCCTCAGAGAGGACTTTCAGGACCCTTCTGTCACTCTCCGCCCACTTGCTCTGCCTTGTTTTTCTTTGTAGCTTTGAGCACAGTTGACATTTGTGTGGTGTCCATGTTCACCAGTATGACGTGAGCTCCACAGTGTTGGGGCCTCCACAGGGACAGGGCCTCCATTTTGCCTCTGGCTCTCAAAGGCCTGGGTAGAGGCCTTTCTAGAAAACAATGCCTCAGCTTGGCTTTGTTTCCTAATCCTTGTTTGCTCTGGTCTTCTCAGGCTTGGACCTGACTATCTCCCCCTGTTGTCCCCTGACCTGCCTCACCAAATGGCCACATTTTTCCAGTCCAGGTTGGGTCCCTGCTTACCCCTGCATGGGTCATAAGGTCCAAAAGACCTACTCCTCACCACTCCAGGCAAAGGTCCCAGCCCCTACTTCCCCAGGTGCTGCTATAGTAAAACACCTGAGATTGGGGAATTTATAAAGACTAAAAATTTATTTTAAGTAGTTATGAGGCTGCAAAGTTCAAGATGAAGGTACCAACAGGCTTGGTATATAGTGAGGGCCTGTCTCTGCTTCCTCCTGCAGGGACAAATGCTGTGTCTTCCCAAGACTGAATGCAGAGGGCAAAAGGGTCTGGGGTACTCCCTGCCAGATCCTTTACAGGGCTGAATCCCACTCTGTCACCTCCCAAGGCCCTCCTCTTAATACTAGCAACTCTGTGATGACGCTTCAACATCTGAATTTGAGGGACATGTTCAGACCCCATTGCCAGCAATGAGGTTTGAAGTCACCTCTTTTTTTTTCTGGTATCAGGGATAGAACCCAGGGGTGCTCAACCATGTAGCGACATCCCCAGAACTTTTTATGTTTTATTTTGAGGCAGGGTCTTGCTTATTGCCTAGAGCATTACTAAATTGCTGAGGCTGTCTCTGGACTTGCGATCTTTCTGCTTTCCGTCTCCTGGGCCACTGGAATTACCAGCCTGTGCCACTGTGCCTAGCTTGAAGCCACCTCTTAACCTGCCCTGAGCTGCTGGTCTCCCTCCTTCATTCTAACTTCAAATAAAAGTCAGAATCATTTTTGAAAAACTCTGTATTGAGCCTATTTTACATAAAAATTAACGGTTCTCTATTTTCTAAGGAATGCAGATCAAACTCCTCAGCTGGGAGCTCTGGTCTATATTTGTAACCATAGAGTTCCTAAAATAGGACCAGAATTCAAATGTTTAGAAGGGCTACAAAGATAATGAAAGTGAAAAATATGGGTCCTGTATAAACAATCAGGAGTGATAGGACTGTGGCAAGCTGGAAAGCAAATGTCCTGGTGAAAGGAGACAGATAGCCATCCCCAGGGAGAACTGGGGCCAGGGGCCCTGAGGAGGCAGCCACAGGAAACCTGGGTGTTCAAGGAAAAATTCCGAAGTTTTTAAATGTTGGCTCCCTCTCTCTGCCTTCCATATCACCAGATTAATTTATTCACTGTACATTAAATACTCCTTGCAAGTTCACCTCCTGGTTCCTGTCCAACCTGACCCACCTTCCCTTCTCCTGAAAACCCTGGTCCCTTCTAATCCCTTGGGCCAGTCACTCTCTGATCCTGAGTATCTTTCACCTTTGCTCCTGAACTACCAACAGCCCCTGGGCAGCACAGGGAGTGACATAACTGAGCCAAGTGTCTCAGGAAATGGGTCACAGTGCTCCTACTAACCAGTCAGGTGACTGGCAAGTCGTGGCATCTTCAGAGCATCAGCTTCCTCCTCTGCAAATGGGAGTGGATAACTCTTGTCCAGCCTCGCTCTCAGGTGACCTCAGATGAGATAACTCAATACATCGGAAACTGCAGAACATTTACAGTTTCACAATTATAAACCTCGAGGTTGCCCTTAAAGCTGCCGGAGAAGTGCACTCCATTTCCCAGACAGCCTCTCCCTGAAGTCTATGTCACACCTTCCTTCTCTCCACAGACCTCCATTCACAGAGTAGGCTGGCAACCTGTTTCCTATTTCACTGAGAAAATGGAAACAGAAGAGAACCTTAACAGGCCGCATGTGCCACCCACCAACAAAATGGACCCAATGATGGTCTCCTTGTTACTGTGTATAAATCTAGCAAAAGCCTTGCCCTCCGGGTGTGCACTAGATCCTGCTGCTTCTCATCTATTCCTGGCCCCTTCACTAATAATTCTTTGTTCTGCAGCATAAATTTTTCTGTTCTACCAGATCTTTCTCATCAGCCTACAAAACTCAGAATAAACAGAAGGTATTGATTCTGTTCTTCTCTCCTTTCTTTGATACCTAACTTCTCAAAATGGGTGTATGTGGTTGTTGGCTCCAGGTCTCTCCTGCTGCCCCCAGGGCAGAGCCCCCTCTAGTCAGGCCGCTGGCCCCTACCCTCCACTATACTGCTCTTTTCAAAACCTCCAGGCCTTGCTATTGCTAAATCCAGTGGTCAGTTCTTGGTCTTCATCTTATTTGATCCATGTAGAGCATCCAGATTCCAAGACAGCATGTTGCCCTCTGCTTCAAGCCTTGCCCCTAGCTACCCACCGTGTCTCTGCTGCATCTCTACATCTAAGTGTTGGAGCACCTCAGGTCTCCATCCTGACTCTCTTCCCACTTCTCTTCATCTAAGCTCATGGCTTAAATGCTCTTCCAATGCCTAGGGTCTAGCCTGGGTCTCTCTACTGAACTCCTGACCTGGAAATCCAGCTGTTGTTCCGTGGATGAATGATCTCCAACTTAATGCATCCCAAACTGAGCTCTAGCTGCCCCTAGGCCTCAGACTCTCTCCTCCCAGGTCCCTGCTCACTGCTTCCCACACTAGGCATTGACTGAGTACCTGTGTGCTAGAGCCGGATGCAAATGCTTATAGGCTTCCAACTCTGGATGATGGAGAGATCTATGCAGGACGGGTGCTATCCCAACTCTGTGCTTCATGCTCTCTCTTTATCTTCAAACTGCACCCAGTCTGGCCCTTCCATCACCCACAATATGGCCACCGATGCTTATGATGCTTACATCTGGCCTCCTTGCTCTTACTCTTGCTCCTCTGATGTCCATTCTCAAGCCAGCAGCCAGGTGGCTTCTCTTGAAATTCAAGAGCATAGTTTTGCTGCTCAAAATCCCACAGGGCTACTCATCTACCCCCACCACACAGTGGGAGCCACAGTGGCCCTCCAAGTCTTTCCCACCTCGCCTATCTCTGCCTGCCTCTCTGCACTCGTTGTTCTGTAATCACCCTGGCTTGTTTTCTTCCCAGAACCCTCCAGGAAGGTCTTGGCTCAGGGCCGCTATATTTGCTGTCCCTCTGGGCAGGGTGCTCTTCCCTCAGATCCCACTCTGCTTACTCCCTTCCCCTTCATGGACTTGCCTTCACATTCCAGACCCCTCTTTTCATCTCTGTTAGCTGCCACTTGTCGGTGGCCTCTCACAGGCTACATGTTTAATAACCTGGTTCTGTCTCCCTCCCTCTCTGGCATGTCAGCTCTATGTAAGCAGAAATGTTTTAATTTTTTAAAAAATATTTATTTTTTAGTTGTAGGTGGACACAATATCTTTCATTTTTATGTGGTGCTGAGGTTTGAATCCAATGCCTCACAAGTGCTAGGCAAGCACATCACCACTGAGCCACAACACCAGCCCCTTATTTTTTTTTTCATTGATCTGTGATACCTTATATAGCACCTAGCATATAGCAGGCACTCAATAACTATTTTTGGAATGCATGAATGAATGAATCTGATAACCAATCTTGTCATCTCTTTGCATTTCATTCACATTTTATTAAGCTTTCATGTGAATATTTTAGTACCTTTTACCAAATTATCAAATCCTTGCTGGCAAATTTATATCTTACCTACTCCTGGTTTCATAACCCAAACAATACTTCCTGTGACACACACTGGGTTCCTTTAAACTTAAATACTTTCAATAGTTTCATTCTTTTCCAGACTCCAACTCATGCAGGATTTCCAAGGTCCAGTGACCTGTCTTCTACCTTACGTGTCCATAGGTAGCTCCATGTTCAGCAGCTCTGGGAAGTTTTGTTCTCTGAGGAGCACAAGAGCCAGCAGATTTCCCTCCTGATTGCAATGTGCAGATCTGTCCACTAGGACCGGCTTCAGGCTTTCCTGTATAGGACTCAAACAACTCAGGAAACAAAAGTGAGAACTGACAAACTGAAAATTTGAAACTTAAATCAAACAACTGCTGTACAGCAAAGGAACAGTCAAGAGAGTGGAGAGATAACCTACGGAAGGGGACAAAGTATTTGTCAGCTTTTTGCCTGATGGAGGATTAACATCTAGAACATATCAAGAATTTGAGGGCTGGGGATGTGGCTCAAGTGGTAGTGCGCTCGCCTGGCATGCTTGCGGCCTGGGTTCCATCCTCAGCACCACATACAAACAAAGATGTTGTGTCCGCCGAAAACTAAAAAATAAATATTAAAAAAATTCTCTCTCTCTCTCTCTCTCTCTTAAAAAAAAAAAGAATTTGAAAGACTTAACAACAAAAAAAATCACAGTACTCTAATCAAAAAAGCATGGGCCTATGACCTGAAGAAACACTTCTCAAAAGAAGTAGTATAGGGCCTGGGGCTGAGTGGTAGAGCGCTTGCCTAGCACATGGGAGGCCCTGGATTCAATCCTCAGCACCACATAAAAGTAAAGAAAATAAAGGTATTGTGTCCAACTACAACTAAAAAAATAAATATTTAAAAAAGAAGTAGTACAAATGGCCAATAAACATATGAAGAAATGCTCAGTTTCTTTAGCCATCAGGGAAATGAAAGTCACAATTGCACTGAGACTCCATTTCACTCCAGTCAATATGGCTGTTATCAATAAAACAAAACAAAACTTTAAAAAATGCTGGAGGGAGGACATGGAGAAACAGGAATGCTTATCCACTGCTGGTGGGATTGTTAATCAGTACAGCCACTACGGAAAGCAGTGTGGAGGTTCCTCACAGAACTAAAAATAGTTTAGTCACCATATGATCCAGCTCTGCCACTCCTGGGTCTGTGTCCAAACGGAAGGAGTCAGCAAGCAGAAGAGAGACCTGTGTGCCCATGTTCACAGTGGCACCACTCACATTGTGGATGAGCCCAGGTGCCTGTCTACAGTGAAGGAATGAAGAAAATGTGGTGTATGTACACAATGCAGCATTATCCAGCCACGAGGAAGAATGAATTGTGTCATCAGCAGGGAAATGGATGGAACTGAAGGACATCGTGTTATGTGAAATAAGTCAAACTCAGAGAGTACCACATGTTTTCTCTCATACGTGAAAACTAAAAAGAAAATGACCAGAAGCCAGTGGTACACACCTGTGATCTCAGTGACTTGGGACTCTGAGGCAGGAGGATTGCAAGTTGGAGGCCAGTCTCAACAACTACATGAGACCCTGTCTCAAAATTAAAAATTTATAAAAAAGGGTGTCGGGGGAGCTGAGGTGGAGGAGTCCCCCTGGGTTCCATCCCAGTACCAAAAAAAAAAAAAAAAAGAAAAGAAAAGAAAAGAAATTCCAGTAGAAGAGTACCTAGGAAGAGGGCAGGGAAAAGGGGAGGTGAGAGAAGGGAGATGGAGGTGATTAAGGATGATGTATCCATGTATGCAAATGTCACAGGGAAATTGCTAATTCATCAATCTATGTTAATGAAACAGCCACAACAAAAGACAGAAGCAAAGCAAATAAACAAAAAACCAAGACCAGTGTAGTCAAAGGCAGCCTGCTGACTACAAGAATCATGCAAATACAGTTTCCTAATCCACATTTGCAAATTCTGGCTCACAAATCCTCCTATTCCTGCTTGTCTTCCTGACAGCCTTGTGAAGTGTCCTGATGGCTGGTAAAGTCCCCTCTCAGAAGGACCCCATCATCCTGGCTGAGGCCTCTCCCTGAGGCATTAGAAAAGGGAAATTCAGAAATGTGTGGGGCCAGGACAAAGTTAGCACAGTTTCTGTCAAATTTAGAATCTTATTCATGATTCTTATCAAACTTCTTTTGCTTTGTAATATCTGCCCTGTCTTCTATATGACATTATCAGCTTCTTGGAGATTTTATTTATTTTTTGCTTTATTTTTCTACTCATCTCTGATTATATTAATCCTTAGTCTTTACTCCTTGCTAACCCCACCTCCTGAGACTTTTCCAATATCTTGCCTATAGGAGGCACTATATTGTTAAAATGAGATGCCACTAAAAATTAAGTCCCTAAAGGGCTTGCCCGTTTCTGTGGGGCTTCTCTGCTTGGAGGCAACGTCCCCTCTGAGCTGCTTGACTTTGCTCCATTCCTGAGCTACACAAGGTGCTACAGGGAGCTGGTTCCCCAAGGGCTGTTGCAGTCGTGGCAAGATAAGTGCAGGAACAGAAAGTTAGCATTTAGAAACTTACAGTTTGTCGTTGCCCTTAGACCCAAACACATAATAATTTTTATAGTAATTTGTTTGTTATTGTGTTTGACAAAAGTAAGAAAAATGGAAAACCATTAAGAACAGATCTGTTTGTGAAACAGATTGAATTTTCACTTCCTCCCCCATCGGAAATTGTGAATGGCCTTTCCTTGCCGAGAGGGGAGGCTGGGAGGTGCCACCCCTCCCAACTCTTTCTGCAATTCATTCCTCCACCTCTAAACACCCTCTTTTGGTATTCTAAGTTCTAAAGAAATCTCTCTGTAATACCTGCTCTTCTCTTTAGATAAAAAGATAACATTTATCTAAAAGGGAGCCACAGATGCTGCCCCAGGAAGTCCCGGCTCCTTTTGATGTGATAAGGAGGCTCCAGGGGCTGGAACGTGCAAAACACCTGAAAAACTGCTCAAGCCAAGGCCTAGGAGGTGGAACCTGTCAAACTCCCATCTTTGGTCCTAATACACCCTTCCCCCTCTTAAAAGCTGTCTTATCCCAAAACTTTTCAGAGATGGAACCTTTGAAACAATTAAGTGTCTTCTATCTTCCTTCAAAGATGCCTTTGAATAAAACCAATCTGACTCCAGATATTTGTGGAGCAGAGAGCATTATGGCCTGGCCTTTCCTCCTGGGAAGTGCTCAGGGATCTTGTGCTGCCCAGTAAATTGTTCTCTGTGGATGTGGGAAGCTCCACTCCGACGAGTCTGCTTTGAGTACTTTATCTAGATGATCCATGGCAAATGGGAGCTGGGCTCCCCAAATTTGGGGTCATAATTTTACTATGTTAGTACAACACTGTAATTCTTTCAAATAGACCTTTTATTTTTTATCCAAATTTATTTTTAAAATATTCTCCCACAGCACAAAGGGAAAACCAGCAACAATGGCTGCAAACAGAGGTTAATTATAAAAATGCAACAAAAGCAAAGAAAAAACCCTAAAACACTAGCCAGAAACCTTTCCCAAATTCCAAGCCTATGGCCTGTTAAAATAATGAGATTGAAAATAATGGTAATGAGCATGGATTTCAAAAGCTGTTAAAGATCTCTTAGCTTAACTGAGACCCCCCTCCTTGGTGTCATCAGGAAAGAGAATTAGAGAGCTAACAGCTTTCTCACCCACGGTTCAATGACATTTCCTGCCCTGTTGGAGTGCAAGGCAAAAACCATCTCCAAGTGCCAGCTGGAGGCCCAGCCCATGGAAATACCAGCACTCTTGTCTCCTGGCCTGGCAAAGCAGGCATAAGGAAATAGGTGGCATTTCCAGAGGCTTCAAGACAAGTCCTTTAAAGAGTCTGTGTTCAAATGTTCCTGTGGGTGTGATATAACAGGACCACAGAGCAAGAATGCAGATGGGCTTCTTCACATTTGCAATGAAAAAGAGCAGGGAGGCAGGCAACTGCGTGTGGTGTGGCACACAGCCTGAAGGCTTCCTCTGCCTGGGAGCAGTCGGTATTTTCAGGACTATGGGCACAAGGGGGAAGAGGTGAACTTCTGACTTTGCTTAGGGTTTCTGAGGTCTCCAGAGGGGAAAGAGTCAATTCTGCAAATCCGCCTAGACTGCATTAGCAGTCCATTTTGAGGTTGGGGGCTCAGGGATTTTCCAGAAGCAAAGACAGAGCAGGGTGTGAGGAACACTCCTGCAGTGGCCCTGAGCTGGAGGGGCCCTAGGACAGTCCAGCTGTGCTTCCTGACTACCAAGCTAGTGCAGGAGCCTGAGAGTGTGGAGAGGGAGCTGCATCTGGAACTGCATCATGAGTCTCCAACTCATGCTGGTCAGGGATCCTTTCCCCTCTCCTCCCCTTCTCCCCAGCTCTGCCACTGCCTGGGAGCTGGCTGGAGGCGGCTCCTTTTTCTAGTGTTTCTCTCCCACTCTGCAAGCTCTGCAAGGGAGCTGACAGCACTCCAGGGGACTCCTGCCATTTCCTCAGTCTCCAGGGAGATGCTCCTGAATGAAAGGGTCTAAAAGAGGAACACACACACACACACACACACACACACACACACACACACACATTCTATTCTCTCTTGTACCAGAATATTTTCTGCTCTGGGCTCCCACACACAACAGCCTCATTCTCCTGAGATTTTCCTCTCCTTCCTCATCCCCTCCCTCTGTTACCACCCCTCCCTGCAAGCGAGTGCACACACACACACACACACACACACACACACACACCCTGAAGTTTCCACACTGTTAACCTCTAGGGATGGGAGAGCCACTAAACAGAGGAGCAATGAGATTTTTATCTTTATCCACCTGGCGATACTGCCTCCACCTCAATATGGAAAGACCCAGAGCTGTTGGAGAGGTGCTGCAGGGATCCTAGTCCTCTTCCCACCCTGCTCACTGCCCAGCTCCACCCGCATCTGAGAGCCAAGCCAGTAGCTCACTGAGGTGTTCAAAATACATAAACTTGATTTAAACATTATTTAACCACCTTTTCAAGTGTTTCAGATAGTCATTGCCCCATCACACTCAGTCCCAGAGTAAAAATGATGTAGTCTAGAGTCAGGACCAGTGTGTAACATGAGCAAGAAATAAAACTTTGTTGTTATAAACTGGAAGCCACTCCGCTTCTGGGGTTGCTTGTTATCACCATAAACCTAACCCATAGTGACCGACAGCTACGTGTAAGAGATTAGTGTTGCATGATAATGCTATTCACTGTCAGTCCCCTTTTCCTTCTTTATTCTGCTACTACAAGTTCTCACTCTTCCTCATGGAGAATGAAATAAAACTTGAAGAAAGATGAAAGCAAGAGCATTGAGAAGTCTTGCTGCTGGTGATGGTAAGACCAGCTGCAGACTGAAGTCATCTCAGCAGACTTTGGGATAAAAGGGGAAGTTCCTGAAGATTCCAGTGTTCACTTGCAGCTGATGCATGAAAGTTTGTCTGGCTCTTGCTGAAAATCTACACAACACAAATATGTAATACAGAATAGATTCC